AACTTGCAAACTTACAGAGCTCTCCCCTACTGTTATTTCTTATCAGAAGGTTCATGATAAATCAGATACTACAAACTTGGGATTTCAGTATGCCTAAGAGCCTGCCTGAGGCTCAAGCATTTCTGTGCTGTTACTGGTATTTAATTCTCCTATTTATTTTTTTTAATTCTGGGTCATTAGCTTGGTGATAGAGGGCCGAAAATAAAAAGCGCCCAACTGGTTAGGTCTTACTTAGCGACCTGTGCTAACTTTGTATGGTTTTGTCCACTTTTGTTTGTTTTTGTATGCTTTTCTATTTTAATATTAAAAAAGTTAAGTCTTCTTGCCCAGCAGGATGAAGGAGGGTCCATACTGTGAATATCATTGTGTAAAACCCAAGCCATAACTTTTTGTCTTCTTGCATGTATCTTGTTCCAGAGTTGAAAAAATGTCAGACTTGTATGTAAATGTATGAAGAAATTAAGTACAGTATTGCTTCAAACTAAAAAGTGTGTCTTTTTAAAAGTGTATACATAACCTGGGTAGGTTCAAAATAGTTCAGACAGTTAAAATGCAAAATTGTTTTAAAGGAGTATGGACAGCTTCCGAAACATGGTATACTAAGGAACTGGGACAGGAAACACAATATAACTGAAATCACTTCACGTACAACAATCTAAGGGATGGGATAGCTGTGTGAATTAAACTGGTTTTTTGCACTATGGATCTCATGTAGAGGTGTGGATGTGCTTGAGGGCTGCAATCTATTTCATGATCCTGTGGTTTGTCACATTTTCTCATTTTTGCTTTTTCTGTTTCTCTTTCAAATTGTAATTGTATTTATTTATTTTTCTTACACAGTGCTAAGAAAGTAATTTCGAAGACAGCCAGACTATGGCCTTTGAAAGGATAACACAAAAGGACTGGTACAAAATCCTGGGTGCAAAGCCATCGGACAGCCAGGCAGAACTAAAACGGAAGTACCAAAAACTTGCTTTATTAGTAAGTGTGTCTTTGTTACTTAAGATGTGCAAAAATAAATTTTATAAATCAGTAAGGTAACAATTGCAGGTTTTGTTTTTACATTTTTTGTATAAATATGATTAATCAGAATATGTTTTTAGTGTCAGTTCACTGAAGCTGATTTAAATTTGAAATAAACATCTGGAGTTTATGAGTTATCATTATATTTTGCAAAGAGGGGTTATGGTGTTCTGGTTCTAAAACACTGATATGTCTCCCAGCTTTGCTAAATGTTCATGAACAAACTGAGCCAAATACTTGTTCATCAGGTGCAAAAGTTAAAAAAGGTCATTGTTTGTGGCATATAGTCATGAAATTTGCTAATTGATACTTGTGGTATTTACTGTCATGCATGCAGTTACAGTGTGCTGAACGTAACCCTTGAATATATAAAGACCAGATGTAAAGAGCAAAAAGAAATTCTTCCTGATAGTCTGCGGTAATGGAATGGAAAATGTATAGGAGGAAAATATGTTAATACTGATTTTATTTGAAAGTTTCTGGTGCATTTTTTGTGGAGTCATGTTTTTGGTTGTGCGTAAAGTCTTGATGTTCTGTGAATTCTCTTAATTTTTCTTGTACTCCTGGTATATGTATGTAAGAATCTCAGAGCTTTACTAGAGTACTACATATGATTCTTGGTTCTTCTGTTTTACTCCTTCCCTTGAATTCAGGCTTTTGGCTCAAAAGATGATTTGGCCTGGCTTTCTGAGGAAAATGGGGTGTGTTTTTTTCAGTACCGTTTGACCCTTTACAACCAAATTTGATAGACAAATAGAATTCCCAAGGTAACTAAATTTCTAAGTTTCTTGAAAACTGGCAACCTGGTAGAGAAGAAGGAGGTGAGCAGAACTCAGTTTTTATATATTCGTTTAGGTAGCTGCTAGCTAGACTGTTGGTATTGCCAGGTCATTAGAGAGCGTTTTTGGTTTTGAGGTGTCAGAATGAATGTGATACGTTGGGATTTTTAAGTGAGGTAAAGGGAATGCCAGTGAATGGGAGACTGAGTTTTGTTAGAGTTTAAATAAATTCATGGGTTGGTTTTTTGGGGTTTTTTTATTGGTTTGGTTTTTGTTGCTGTTGTTGGGGTTTTTTATTAGTTTTCACAGAGGCTAGAAATAAAATGTTTTAAAGATCATTTCACCAGTGTGTTCCCAGTTTGCACATTTTGATATTCCTCAGTTGAATTCGCTAAGCAATCCTGCTGGACATCTACTCCGTCTCAGTGCTTCCTGCTAACTTACTACTTTGTCTGAAACTGATCTGTGTACTTAGTCTTAAGTTTCAACACCTTACAAGATGTTTGCATGCAGATACAGGCCAGAAATCCTTTGATCCTCACTATTAAACTTTAGAAAAATCAACATAGGAGAGTGCTTTGGAAACCAAGCTTCTTAGTTCCACTCTTAGTAGAAATAGTTGGGGTTTTTTGGACCTCCTGATGTTTTTATTTTACTGAATCACTAGTAAAATATAAATAAAATATTAATAACAATCTATTTGTTCTTCATGAAAGCAGTAGGGTGGCCACAGTGGGATTAAAGTCATATGTAAAATATTGTTCAGAGCTGTTTGCCACAGAACTGAAACTACCTAGTGCCTTTCCTGTGTATTTTTTTTTTTAAATGAAACTGACTCTTTGTGTTATAGCACTGTACTTTCATGTAATTATTTTGAAGTGGATGAAGTGAGAATGGTTGGAGTTTACAACTGTCTGTTTAAATCTATAACTGTAGCTTTAGAAGATGACAATATTATTTTAATATACAAGCTTTTCTTTATAACTTGTATATTTCCAAACTAATTGGTTAATGGTTTTTATTTGAAAAGTCAGTGAGAAATGTTAGAGAAAATGAAGATACTTTTTTTTTTTTTCCTTTTGCTATTTGGCTTAGAATTCTTTTGCTATCTGTGATGGATCTCTCTAAGAAGCCACACTGATGTTTACTTGTAGGTGTTTTCTCCAAGGCAGATCTGCTGCTTGTCTGTTGTTGTTACCATATGTCCTGTCTCTATTCATCTTTTTCTTTTAGGTGAACTGTTACAGGCTCTACTTGTTTGTCTGCTTACTAATATAGCATCTAGCACAATCAGTCTAAAGTCTTTAAAAGCATGGTGGTTAAAAAAACAATTAATTTTTATGCACCTGAAAACCTCATTGGCTATAGGAGTGACTGGAGGCTATAGTACGTACCTTCACTAAAAGGCATTCATATACCACACAGTTACAGTGTGAAAGTTGTTGCCACAGATGTTGTTGAGTCCAAGGAGTTCCATGGTTGAAAGAGTTGTAAGACTTTCAAGAAAGAAACATCTGCTGTGGCATGTTGACACAAAAAATACTGTCTGATTCGGAGTTCATGAGCTATGGACTTCCGAATACTGGTGGAATATATAAGGGAGGTGTTGCTGCATGTTTGTCTTACCTTGATTCTGTTCCCTAGGCATCCGCTGTTCATTGTTAGTAAAAAGTATAGCACTGGATGGATCTCTCATCATACCTCTTGTGTCCTGTTCTGGAGAAGTACTTCCCTTGCTCTCCAAGTAAAGCTTGTCGTTAGAGCTCTTGGTAGTTCAGACCTCTAACTGTTGCTTTTCTAAAGCTGTTGTTGGAGGTGGTGATGGTAGAAGTAGTAGTACTATTGGTGTGGGCAGAGAACGGGTCTACATGCAGGTGGTTTTGGGTACTGTGGTAGCAGTCAGTTACTGGAGTGACTCTAGTTTAGAAGCTGGACTAGCAGATGAGCACAGCCCTGCATTGCCTGTTAAAAGATTTCATGACAAATTTTGTGATCAGTACAGAAAGTTTTCTGGCTTACATGTAGCAGCAGAAGTTAACCTTCTGAAGAACTGTACTGTGCTAATTATCTTAAAATCCAAAAGTTTATAAAGCAACTTGCATCTGGAATACCGATTGCAATTAATATGACATTCATTCTGTAATCGTGAATATTCTGATCACAGATGTTCATTAGCATTAAGCATAATAGATGGTGGAATTTATTTTTAAACATAATTCTGTTTTTCAAATAAAAATGGCAAATGTCTGAGTCCAAGCCTTCTTCAAATGATCCCCAATGCTTCATGTTGAGCATTTGCTTTTTGCCATCTGCTATCTTCTGTATTTGTCAACACATGTATGCTTAGCATCTTGAATTAACAGGCAGATGTAAATTTCCAAAGCTAAAAAGAGTTGGAGATCTTGCCATATGTCATCCAGAAGATAACTATATTTGCAGTTAAATCTCATGATTGACCTTAATAATACAAAGTAGTATGCAATTAAAAATGGTTGAACTCTAGGTTTGTAAGAATGATTTCATAAGGGCAAATTAGCTTAAAACTGATGAATTTATAAAATATAACTTGTTTTTGTCAATTCTAACAAACTGATGATGGAAAAGGTTAAGAACCCATAACAAATAAAACTGTGCATGTACACCGTGCTAGAGTGAATACATTTACTTATCGTTTTGCCATATTTTGCTTTGCTATACTTACTTTTTTCATTTGGTCAGGTCACAACATATGTTTAAGTGAATTATTTTACTACAGATAATGTCAATTCCATCTTTAACAATAGTATTAATTTGATACAGAAAACAGCACAGGTTTGGTCTAAAAGCAGTGGGGTTTTTTATTAATATTTTTTTCTTCTAACCTTCTAAGTATTTAAGTAAAATTTCATATTTATAAAATTTCCTTGCCACTTAATGACAAATTTATTTGGTTTTTAAAGTTTTGTGTACTTATGTGATTGACACCTGGATGATCCTGATATTTTATTACTATAACAGTCAATAGTAGCTGAAGATGACAGACTTTTGGGCACAAGATGTGTATGGCACTGGCAGTTCCATAAATAACTTATTTTTAGAACAAAATCAAACTTCTGTGTATGTTGGCTCATACTCTGGTATGTTCTCTAGCACAGAGCTTCAACTAGTGATTCTGAAAGAGAAAAAAAATAAAATTATAAGTGCGTGTTTGGTAACCAGCATAGCTCAATGCAAAAAACCCTTGATCGGCTGTTGTAAGTTAGTGCTAAAGTGCTTTCTGAAGCACAGAAGGCTTGCAGTTCCCATACTCTGAAAGGAATCACAACAAATTTTAAGAATTAATAAGTTGTCTAAGTGGTAGGAGTTTGGTCTTTAATATTCTGTCTTTGGAACATGCTGGTGGTTTTGAGCTATTTGGGATACGTATAGCCTTTTTATCCACAGTAACATATATGGTAGTTTCAGCAAGAAGATTTCTTAAATGGATAAACAGGTTTTATGGTCTATACTTAGTTTTTCAGGGAATCCATACAGCTTTTAGGAAGGACGCTGCTTATGTTCCATTTCTGGATGTATATAAAATTAACAGAGGATAGAATTAGAGTAACAAAAAAAGGATATTGGGGGAAAAAATTTACACCATCTTATTATTGGCACAGTTTTTACATCTCCTTTTGGTGTAGCACTTTGTGGTCAAAGAATGAGTTGCCAGATTGTTTTCAAATTTTCGTGTAGCTGCTCTGTATCTGAAGACTACTTTTTACAGGGAATAAAGTCACCAAACGTATAAGCTTTGTCTAGCTGAAAATCAAGTGTCTGTTCGTGTTGATGCTGATGATATTATAGGATACCTTTCAACTGGAAAAAAAATTATTGTGCAGGAAAATTATATACTGCTGTTACAATGTGTGCCCTAATCTTAAAGAAAATCCATGTAATTTGAGCAGGGAGTATGCAGGAAGCTCTTATTTTTAATATGGTAAGGAAATAAAATGTGCCATTTAACACATAGTGTTACAAAGATTATCTTTTTTATCAGTAGGGGTGGTGTGTATGTATATAAATACACACAAAGTGTTAAGGTGATCACTTAATCTGTTTGGAAGAGTAGAAAATATGAAAAAAGAGAGCATCAGGCATAGGTGAGAATGATTCTCAGCAACAATAAAAAAGGCTATTTATAGAAATTTAATTTGATGA